CAATCCCTACTTTTACTATGATGGAGTTATAGGGAAACTGTAAAAAGATTAGTGATAGAAGGGAAAGTTACAGTGGAAGAAGATTTCTTTAGCATCCATTGCTTTTTCCTTGGATCCTCACTCTTAGGAAAACTCAATTCAATAGGTACATTTTACCCTGAGGTATTGTGCCTCAGCACATTCCTGAATTGCTGCTTCAGGATACAGCCCCATTTCAGTTCCAACAGAGAATACATAGTTTCAGGACAACTGTAAACTGAGATTCCCCATTACCATACTTCCTGTTCCTCTGATGGAATTATAAGGCTTCAGAATTCAGGGAAACACAGAACCAAACAGCACTCTTACAATAGAGCAGATTCATTGAATCTAATTGAATCAGATGTGTGTTAAACAGGGAGGACAGTCATTATGGTTAGGTCAAAAAAATAAGCCCCAAACTCATCCAAGAAAAAGAAATTGCCCCAGAAAGTTTCCAGATGACCCCAGTGAAGAGCCCGAACCAGCCTCAGTGAGACACAGAGGAGCCTTCCCAGCTGCTTTTCTAAAGAAGCCTGGACAGGCTTGGACTCTTTTTCCATGTTGGCCAATATGAGTCTGGAACAGGGCCCTGTAACCAAATGAAATATCTTGATACTGCCAATTGCTTCTTGGCTTTGAGCAGCTGTAGGAGCAGCTGGTTTTATAACACACGGAGTGAGTCCTTTTTCTGAGATAGGGAAGTTCTCCATTTTATAAGAAACTTAGAAGTTTGGGTCTTTATACAACTACTTTCATGAGCTTTAACCTGAAGAGCTGATGGGTTGTGCTTCCTATTCATGTATCTTGCAAATACCAAAATGATCTATAAGTTTTATCTAAGGGAAATCTTCCTACAACTATAAAAGTCAAATTTATCCAAATCTTCACTTTGAATCAGATATGGAAGTCATGAGATAAGAGATCAATTATCCCTGAACCAGTATAATTAATTCTAGGAAACGTAGATTGAATATAAGAATTTCCTCCCGCTCCCTCCTGGTATCCCAGTAGAGGGATATTTTTTTTTAAAGGCATAAAACTGCTAGGACAGTAAGAACATGAGAGGAGATGACAATAACGAAATTTCAGAAGCTGGAGAGTATCAGAACTGAATCTTAAACTGGCAGTAGAGAAAGCCAACACCATCCAATTTATGCCACAGAATTCCCAAAAGGCCCTGGTGGCATTACTGGAAGTAAGGAACAATGGAAGGGATGAACTAAAATAAAGAGGATCTGTGGAACTTCCTTCAAGAAATAGCTAGATTCTCCAGACCAGGCACCTACTCAGTAAAGCTGAGTGATTGGTCCTCTCTCATCCTGGCAAAAGGTACATAACTGAAGATACATTCTCTGGAAAGCAGAAAATATAAGTCCTCTGGGTGAGGCACTCAGCACAACTTGCAGGAGAGAGGGTACTGTAATGAAAACTGGGATTAGGGGAACACATGGCACTCTGAGATATTCACCCAAACTTTTCCCGCCCCCTTAGTTTACAGAAAGATGGCAGCAATGCCCAGACCCTCCAGGCAGGTGATTGGAAGATCTCTGGGTAATCTGATCAGCCAAAGAGAAACTGACATTGGTGGATCCCCAAGTAAAAGTCTATTATTAACAGCACTTCAAGTGAAGCTATTACCAAGCCCTACTCATGTGTATCAGGCTCAAATTAACTTTTCTGGAATATAGCAGACAAAGAAAGGCTACCTGATATTGAAGGAAAGATTCTAAAATTAGAGTCCAAAACAAACCAAAAAAGTCTATTTGACCACAGGGAAACAATCAGCAGAATTCAGATTGTTGGAAAAAAAGGGAGAGAAATGGGGGGAATCTATAGATTAAAAGAGGCTTAAAACACATATCAAACAATTGTACTATATAGACCTTATTTGAGTACTGATTTGAACTATCCAACTGTTTTCTAAAATATGAGATAATCAGAACATTTTAAATATTGGTTAGATATTTGATATTAAGGAACCGTTAATTTTTTAGGTATGACATATTATAGTTATGTTTTAACAGTCCTTATATTTTAAAGAAATATACTAAAATATTTATGTATGAAATTACATGATAGCTGGGATTTGCTTTAAGATAGTCTGGGTGAGAAGGCTGAAGCATGCCCATGGGAGAAAAGGAACATAGAATCTTTTATACTATTATCTTTCCATAACAGAGAAAAATTATCATTAGAATCCTCACAGAAGACAATGAAATTATAAAACAGAAAAAATATATATTATAAAAAAAAATTCAAAGACTTTTTAAAATCTCCTATAAATAAAAAATAATAATGGAATTGAAACATTCAGCAAAGAGCTGAGAAAAAAATTGAGGACATATCCCAGAAAGTACAGTAAAAAAATTTTAAATGAAAATAAAGAAAAGAACAAAAAATTAGTGGACTAGTCTAGAAGGCCCAAAATCTTGGTAACAGTTCCAGAAAGAGAGAAAAGAGAATAAGGAGAAAGGAATTCTTCAAAACAATAACGTAAGGAAACGTCCCCAAACTGAAGACCATGAATTTTTAAAAGAAAAGAATGTACCAATTGCCTGACATGATGGATGAAACAGGCATACATCAAGACACATCACTGTGAAAATGCAGACCATTGAGAACAAAGAGATTTGACAAGTTTCCAGAAAAAGCAAAATAAAAAACAAAGCTCATGGCTTTGTATGAAAGATCAGAAGTCAGAAGCATATAGGACTTCATGAGAGAAAAAAACTAGAAAGCAATGGAGCAATACCTTCAAAATTCTGAAGGAAAATTATTGCCAGTATGGAGTTTTTATATCCAGCCAAACTACCAATCAAAAGTAAAGGTAGAATGAAAACATTTTTCAGACATGAAAGCCTCAAAACTTTTATTTCTATTCATTCTTTCTCAACAACAAAAACAAGGAAGTAAATACAGAAAGAGAAATTAATGGAATAGAGGAAACAAGGGATCTAGTAGAGAAGAGAAGTGAAAGGAATTTCCAGAATGCTGACAAAGAGAGATTTCAAAATAAAAGCCTACTCTCTCTGCCTCAGTTTCCTTATCTGTGAAACAAGGAACTAACAATGGTACCTATGTCATGGACTTGTAAGAACCCATCACAAACACTTAAGAGTAGTACTTACTAGCACAAAGTAAGAGCTACAAAAGTTATCATTATCAAAGAATTGACTCTTTACCCTATGTTAACATAACGTAGGGAGGGAGGGAAAGAAAGAGAGAGAGAGAGAGAGAAAGGAAGGAAGGAAGGAAGGAAGGAAGGAAGGAAGGAAGGGAGGAAGGAAGAAAGAGAGAAAGAGAGAAAGAGAGAAAGAGAGAGAAAGAAAGAAGGAAGGAAGGAAGGAAGGAAGGAAGGAAGGAAGGAAGGAAGGAAGGAAGGAAGGAAGGAAGGAAGGAAGGAAGGAAGAAAGAAAGGAAGGTAAAACACATTTCTGAACTGAATATATTTCCAGCTGGAAATATATTCCAGCTGGAAATATATTTATTGGAATGACTAAAAATAGTCACAGAACCATAGGGTTTTGGAGGCTGGCAAGGTTCTGAGATTTTTTTTTTCTAGTTCAGTTTCCTTGTTTTAAAGAGTAGATTGAAGTGCAGAGTGGCTAAGTGACTTGCTTACAACTACACAGGCATTTAGTGGAGGAATTGGGACTAGCAGTTAAGTGTTGCAGGTCAGTGCACCGAAATTCAGAAATACAACTACACAATCTGTCCTCAGAGGGTCAGAATTTCACACGTACAAAAAAAATCACAATAGAAATATTTTGTCCAACTCTGTCATTTTATCCTAAAACCTGGCACTTGGCTCAAGATATACATAAGCAGAAAGGCCACACAGAAAGATCTACTCAGCACCATAAAGCTATAGTTGGGTTTACTGAGTTAGGTTGACAATAAGGAAAAAAAGTATTGTATTCACTGTCCTACACAGAGTTGTTTTAATTCTAGGAAGGACACTTCTAATGGGTTTATACGCAAAAGTGACAATATTAATCCCTAGTGCTCTGGGACCAATATGGCATAGCATGGATGGGCATTTCTGATCTCTGAGTAATGAGATGGGATGCAATGGAAGTCCACCACAGTTTTCTAAATCTTTCTAAAGGAGTACACACCATTTTTAGGGTTAGTATTTTGGTCACTGCTTCCAAGGAAATGATGCTGCCACCAAGATGATGTGGAAGTGAGGACTACTGAGCAAGGAAGGCCAGGGAAGGAAGTGGCCGCAGCAAGGGGTGAAGGCAAGTGCCTGGGAGAAGAAAATGTCCTCCTTGTCTTATCAGGCAAAGCACCACTGATACTACTCTGAGGTCTAAGAGGGGGAGAATTTTCCTGAGATAAATTCTATGATCTGTCTTCATCTTGTTCCAACTGAAAATATACCCTCTGTACACTGGCAGAAAGTCCCATTCATGACAGTTTGAAATGAACTTATTTCAAAAGAAAACTGCCCGTTTTCATTTTACTGAATCTCAGAGGAAAAGTTCATGTTAATTTCTCATCTTTAAAACATTGGAAACGTCTATGCTTCTTGAATATTTATCACAAACAAATTTGTAATTACTTTTTTGGATATAGTACATGTTCCATATCAATCCAAATACCACAGTGGTGACTGGTTGGATTAAAAACCTCTTAATATTTTGACCATTAAGATTTAAAGTGACAGGTAAAGAGTTCAAAAATATATTTAAAAATTCTATTTTCAAATCCTTTAGTCCTTTTTAAAAAATACTTATTTTGCTATTTTTGATTAATGAAAAGACTTTCTCCTTCCACGTTCTTATAAACTTTAGGTGCATCTTGGGAAATCATTCAAACAAAATACATAAAAGTATGTACTGGAACTTAGCCAAGTTAATAAAAACATAAAAAGAAAAACTATCTAGAAATATTTTCAGTTTCTTCTGTTTATGAACAGAAACATACAGAAAATACTATTTTAAAATGGAAAGTACTGCAGTGTTAACACTCACAGAAAAAGTAGGATTCCGGTGTTGGCCAGGGCAAAGGCGAGTCCCAAAATCCCACTTCCCATAATGGCGTTGCTTAGGTTAAAAACAGACATGCCTAAGGAGGTTGTTCCTGGAATCTGAACAAAGAGACAAACATTCACACTAAGCAAAACAGTCTCAAGTAAGTTCATCCCTCCAAAGCACTATTAGAAACAAACACAGAATTAAATTCTAGAAATCCTTCCTCAGCAGTCCAATTTTTTTTTGTTTGTTTTTTTGTTTTGTTTTGTTTTGTTTTTTGTTAATAGGTTTCCTGCGAAAATATTTAGGATCTGAGGAATATCCTAGTGAGTACAGGTAGCTATGCCTTTGGTACCATGCTACATGAATTAAAAACATCTGTCCCAATTTATGTGATTAAAAAAATAAGCATACTTATAATGACACTTACATATTCATCACATTTCTTTTTTTCCAAATGGCTGTTTGTGAGACTTCTTCTACTTTCACGATCAGAAATAAACTTGCTGTAAAAACACATATAATACATTTAACTTCATGGTAATAATTTGAAGCTTAACGTTATATCCAAGTGATTTATTACTTACCAAAACATATCATATATGAAAGTTATCAATCTAATTTCAAATCATTTTAATACTAATAAATTAAAACACTATAAGCAATGTAAGTTAACTTTTATATAGATTTTTCTCCGACTGAAAATTAGATAATGTCAAGAATACTATAAAGTTGGCATTTAAAAGAATACCAGTCAGGATTCCTTCTCAGCTCACATTCCTGGAGTACAGAGTTATTAAATAGGAATTCCCTCTCCCCTGCAAAAAAGGAAACAACCCTTTCCCCATCAAATATTCCTTCAGCCCCTGCTATGTGCAAGTCATTAGAATAGGTGATAAGGGAGACATGAGGGTATGTAATAGGAGATGTAGACATTAGGTGATAGAAGTTCAGACCAGGAAATTATGGTGGGGGAAGGCAGAAGGCATTAGTCTATGTTTAGGGGCAGAGCTAGGGCTTTATGAAAGGGCTTTAGAACTTGAGTTTGAATCTTCACTAGCTGTGAGGGCCTGGGCACGCCACCTCAGTTGCCTCATCTATGAAACAGGAGTAGCACTATTACGTTATCTCATGGTATGATTGGGAGAATCAAATGAGAGAGCACGTATAGAACATCAGTCCAGCTTCAGGCACAGAGTAAGAGCAACAGATGTTACTCATTCCTCTCCATGGGGTAAGTGGGACCTAAGTTGTAATGGGAAAGATTCATAGAGGCTGAGTGGAGTAAACTATACACATATATAGAAGTAGGAATTCAGAACGCTTTAAGAACCATATTTACAATTAATAGCAGAACTTTATGGCCTAAATGTCAAATTTTAAAAAAAATTCACCATTTAAAAAAAGTGCTATTTTCAAAGAAAAGTTCACTCATAGGCAAATAGCTGCATATATTAGTAAAATAGGTACACTTTTTAGCTCTTCTGGAAATTTAATTATCTGGTCTTAGTAAGAACCAATCACAGTAAATATTTCACTAATAAATGTAAAGCCATGTGAGCTGAACTATTTTAAAGCACGTCTTTAAATTGTACATTATATTTTCATATAATTTTTTGAATGATGCCATATTTCACCATAAAACATTTTTGATAAAAAATACACATCATCAGTGTTGGTTTTGTCTATCTCTTTCATCCTTAAGCAAAGGGATCTGGCTTCTCCTTGGCATTACTTCTTCAAGTTTGCATTATTTTGCCAGGATAAACCAAAGACAGACAATATACATACTATGAACTTCCTCTGAGATCATCACCTGGTATAAGCAGCACAATCTGCAGTTTATTTCCCTCAGCATCTGCCACTGCCTCGGACCTGGGCAGTTACTGAGAGAGATCAAAAAGAAGGTGAAGAAAACTCTGATCTCCTGAAATGCGGGAGCTAACACTCCAGCTGAGGAGAATCCCAGCTAACACCAGAAAAGGAATGTCAGGCTGTGCAAAATTGAGATGAGATAAGGAATCCAGAGAAGGAAAAACCACTATTGGGTGGGATTAGCCAGAGGAAACTTAAAGGCAGAGGCCTGAGAAATAGTATTGCAGATTCTTAGCAAAAGAATGACATAATGAAAGCAATATCTTTGGAGACCAATCTGGCAGTTGTATAGCGTTTGGCCTTTCTTTTGCCCTTAACACTTTAAATCTTTGCATAGAATTGAGGTTTATACATCTGGCTGGAGAGGGGCAAGGAAAAGCAACCTTTCTTTTCACACAGGCAGCCTAAGGAAATGTGGGTGCTGGACTTTCCAAAATGAAAGTGATTTCCAAAATAAAATCGCCATTAAATAAAAGATGGTATTTAATCAAGCTAATTTTAGTAACCACCTCAAGTCTATCAAATCTTTATCCAGAAGGTCCCCATTTGCCTTTCTTGTGGAGGTACTTGTTTTCCAAAGAAAATTTCTATTATTTTTTAAATAAGGGAAAAGCCTCAACATTTTCAAACTGAACAAAACAGAAACAAACCGCCTGTGGCAGATTTAAGTTCCTGGCCTGGCCACACTCCCCAGAATTGGTGGCAGAGGACTGGTGGCAGAGAAGAAAAGAATATAGGCATCATGACACAAGAGGCATTCAGTAGAGTCAAACATTGTGCAACAGAAAGGGAAGAAAAATAAGCCCCTGC